AAGCAACCTTAGGGCTGTGTTCCACTCTGTTGCGAGCTGGTTAGTTTTGCCACATTCATAGATGACATGATAATTCCCAAGTTCCTGAAAGGTGCCAGAGACTTGGCTCCTGTGGCTGATGGTGCTGGTGCAATTCCGTGCGTGCATGGATGGACCTGTGGAAGCTCCCATGGAACCTGTGGGTAGAGTCTACGTCCCATGTGGTGACCAGACATTGGAGCTGTGGGGATCACGTGCTGGATTGGAGCAAAGTGTGCGAGTACTTCTGCATCCGTGCAGTGTTGTGTGTGGTGTGAGTGAATAAAGGACACTACAGCCTTGCAGGGGTGATGTGGATATGGTACAATTCCACTTTTAAACACAGTGTCCTGGCTGTAGTGGTTAAGAGACTTGGCTCCTGTGACTTAGGGTGCTGGTCCGATTCCGTGCAGGCACGGATGGACCTTAAGTGAGAAAGTGTGGATCATAGCTACTGCCAGTGATTCTGTAAGTTGGATTTTTTAACTTTTTTCGTTTGTAGTCCTAAACTGTTCCCTTTTTCTTTTTTCGTGAGGAGCAGCAGGTGTTAGGAAACGGGCCCAGAGTCCCTTACGAAATCAAGAGACGGCCAACTGACAAATGATAGAAGCATTAAATTAAGCAATCAGCACTACTTTCCCTCGGCAATGCCCTGGGGACTAACTGAGACCCTCTTTGTCTGGAGCAAATGACAGAGGTTGAAACATGGACTAGATCTGCCTCTTCAGCTTTCGTTTCGTCATGCTGTCAGATTTCCATACACCTTTAGCTAATCAGTCTGGCCAAACCATGATGTCTCTACTAAAGACTTTGCCGGTGGTGGAAAGGGATCTGGAAACTCCTCCGCTGATCTCATTGAAAATGAAATATCATGACAGTCACTTGTGTGCATCTTCTCTCCATCTCCCCTGCCTTTTCCGTTCTCTGCTACGATAAGCGTCCAGCCAAAAAGCTCGTCCTGAAAAAAGACATTTTGAAGGTGGTTATCTTTACTGCTGCAAAATAAGTAGTCAACATGATAGCACTGTCTGATAGGTGTGATCGCCCTTTGTTGCTTATCTTGTCCCCTTTTATTCATGGTGGTCTCCATGTAATGACTCAGGGTGCAATATGAAGGGTGCCATTACCTCCAATCTTCACGCGCCCAAGTTTCTGCAAACCATATTCTCGTTGTACCAGTCATTGAGATTTTTTACGTACTGAATACAGCAGCATTCCTTTCCCACCATATCACATTCCAAATTGCCTTTCTGCTGGCAGTGGCAGCATATCCTTTACCTTTGTGGTAGGGTATAGACCCGTCAGAACCTTCTGTTCTTGACACCCTACCTTGGTAGACGCGTCTCCCACGATCTCCAGATTGCCCTTGATCTTCGGCGCTCCCACCACATAAGATTAGATATCATAATCAGAAACAAGTTGTTGTTGATCTGACAGCTATTCGAGTAAGGATGCATATGGTGAATAAAAGAGAGGAGGAGGATCACGAAAACGAGATGACAGAGGAAACTCAAGAACAGAATCCTTCTTGATGCCTTCCGTGATCCCCATTGGTTATGGCAACAGGTGTCTGTTCTGTGCCAGGTAAGGACAAACAGGCAAGCAAAAGGTAAGGAACGACGGTGGATTGAACAGAAGCTAAGATTTTCTATTTTGCTATTGGTCATTGCCGGGCAGATCGCCTGGGGTGTGAAGTTTGTCAACCAGTCGGTGGATTCGGTATGTGGGGATTACAAAATCTGTGAAGGAGAAGGCTGTTGGGTGCATGTGCTTCTCTCACCATGGCTTAAAACTACATATATTGGAATGCAATCAGACTCGTTTTCAGACACACTTTTCACACATGTAAACAGTAACGCCGCATACTGGCGACATGCGCCCACTCAAACTCAGAGATATGGTTTTCAGATACGAATTTCACTCCCAATTGGCTATGGCGACCTCAGCGCCCAAACATCTCACTGTTCACATACACGGGATCACCCTGGATATCCCACACGCATCACTCTAACACTCGAACACACACACACACTCACTACTAACTACAGCTATGGCAGCTATGGCTGCCTCTAACCTATCGCTATGCTAACTCCTCCTCTCTTGCCCAC